TAAACAACTTTTTCTTTTGAATATACTCTGAATGTGGACATGATTAAAAAGAGGGTTTGGGGATTTAAACCACATGCCACTGGCAATCACAAGCTCTCACAATTATACTGAATTTCTGTTTGAGTTTCCAGAGAATGTTAGACACAGTGGGGTGAGCTACACTAGATTGTTTGCATGTGCTGTTGCAGGATAATGAAGCTTTTTGAATTTCCCTCTTTGCCAGAAAAGGGATGGACTCGCACATAATTAGCTCGGTGAGATTAATGAATTCTCACTTTTTAATGGTACTCCTCTATTTCTGAGGTCGAATTTGTATTCCGAGTACTTTCTCATCTAGTCCATGTCAATGTCCAATGTTACATATTTCCATAAAAATTGCTTTTTTTCTCATGAACTATAGGGTAATTTTACATTATTTTGGGAACTGCTGAAATAAGCAAGGAAAGAAGCATTTATGTGCCTCTGAAGGAAGGAAAGGATTTGGGAACTCTCTAATAAATCAGTCATAATGCAGTTAAGTAAACTACATTGCAATTTTTTGCCTCTTGAGGCCAGTTGCGAGTAGTTGTAGTGGTTGGTTGCCCAGTGGTTGAGCGTGCAACAACCATCAATGTATTGATAGCCATTATAGGGTCAAGGTTGACAAGCAGCTATGTCATTTTGCAGTTAAATTGCTGTCCTGCAGCAACTATTATATGTAAATGGCAACTTGATTAAATTTAATCAGAAACTGACAGCAGACTTTTTCCCGTCTTATTGCCATTTTATTGCTGCCTTGACTTGCTTGACTTGCTTTGAAGATAACAGCTAACTGCGAGTGGTCACAGACCTGGTCCCTGTCTTCAAAACAGCCATTTCAAAGGTAATGAGATTGCAAGTTCATTGCATATTCAATCATTTTGCTTGCACTGCAATTTCTAGCCACATTTTCCCCAGTGTGTACCATGAACCTGTTTACAATTTTAAATATGTCACATCTTGATTGACTTGGATGTCCTCAAAATGAACCCTGAGCACAAGCCAGTGAAGCTTAGAGATGAGGTGATAAACAACATCTTTCTAATAAATCACAGATATCTGTTTTCCCTGTGAGTGGCACATGTGCTTCTTTCTCAGGTTCATCTCAATAAATTTTAAATAAAAATAATAATAATTGTGCAGTATTTCTTGAGGGAAAAAAGTGAAATATCACAATGTGTTCAAGGAGTTTAATCCTCTAGTGGGACATTATAAGACATTCCTGAATAGAGAACTGTGGGAGAATCTGTAGGCAAAGAGGATGGTTGTCCTGC